GTTTTCTGCTAAGGCAGGGTCACTGAAAGAAAAAAAAAGAACTGTGGCTATGCACAAGTTACCTTAATTAAAAAAAAGCATCATTTTTCCTCCATAGTTGTGATGGTTCTAGTTGTCCCTTTTTTTTTTTTATAGAAATGAAAACTCACAGTGTAATTGCATATACCAATTTTCAAAATGAAACTGAAATATTACTATAGCTTTTACAGATGTGTGCCTTCCCTTTCATGAGAGCAAAACTTTTAGTGTCAAAGCGTCAAGGGAACAACTTTTAAATAATATCTAGAGTGCATCTGTTTTGCTTCCATTGTTACTGGCTGCACAGATAGCATAGACGTGTCTTTTTATACATACATGCACATTATGCATCTAGCCACATGCAGGATTATACATCATTATACTTTCCTGAGCTTTTACTTCAGGTAGATAACAGCTAGTGTGAAAATATTTAATTTACTTACATACATAGTCTAATAAAATAATAGATTCAATGAGCTATTTGCTTTTTTTTCCCATTCGTTTTAAATGCACCTTATCTCAAAACAAACAAACAAACAAACAAAACCAGGATATATCAGTATTTACCTGGTGTGTAAATACTGTAAACCTGTAAACATGGTTTACACTTCTAAAAAAAATCCTTTCCTTCTGATTTACCATCTGATTCAGACAGCTGGCCCTTCTGTATTAAGAAGGAAAAAATCCTTTTAGAGGTGTTCATAAATCAGTCAGAACTAGATTTATCCAACAAAAGTTAGAAGTATAGACACTGGAATTAACTCCTGGCTCTGAAATGCAGCAAGATAGGTGCTTCCCCATTCATTCTAATTAAAGCTGGTAGGAAAAATTATACATTGAAAGCATATATCTCTCTGTACAGAGGGAGCCTAAACTGGTGGTTTAAACATGGTGTCTGATGTTTGGAAGGCTAATATCAGGTAAGATCAATTCAACCCTCGGGAAACATGGCTGGGATCAGCTGCAGTTAGTGTCTGGTTTCTAACTGATCATTATTTATGATGAGCCATAACACAAGTAGCTCCCAATGATTCCCAAACCTTATAAAAGAACAGTTTACAGCATTTTCTTTAGCTTATTTTTGGACAGTCTTCTGCTTCAGAGAAGTATTGGCTCAGCAATGATTCAATGTATCTCTGGTAAGTAAGGCTGTAAGGACATTAAACATGGCAAGAGACACATTTCTAAGTTTATAGCTCTGGCAACCTTTTTTTTTTTCCTCCACAGTAGCTGTACAGACAAAGTTCACTCCACCATTTAATGAAGAATAGTTGGAAGAGTATCTACAAAAAGACAATGGTGTCCTTTTTTCAAGATGTTCAGATAGTCAATTCTTTAAAATGATAGTTTGAGAAATTATAAATTAATCCTGGATTTCTTCCGCCTGGAAACTTCAGTTAATGTTGATGGAATGAACGTGTCCACAAAAATGAAGAAAAAAGACAAAACACAAACATGCTAAAGGGTGCTCATATGTACTGCTGTCATTCCAATTTCAGATAAATCCTCCAATATATTTCTTGTAAAAAGGGTTGTCACACAGATGTCTCACCAAGCTTTATCTTACTTGTCTGTAAACTTGGAAGGAAATAAATATTTCATGTTTTTGCTGTAGTCTTGTCTTCTCTGAGCTACGTTTTTATACTTTGACCACCTTTTCAAAGGCTTTCCTGGAATGGTTTACCTCTCCAACTACATTTGAACAAGAATTTAGGACAGGTGTATAAGCCTTTCAGATATGCTGTACCTGAAATTCTTTCTTAGGATTTCAAGTTTTTGAAAGGTGCCTTATTTTGAATTGCCTTGTCTGTTGTCTTGTTAAGTATACTGTCTTCCCTCTTTGTAGTATTTCTAAGAGAATTTTGGCAAATGGTTCATGTTTGTTTTGAATATCTAATAATTTGTCTGCAGCTTTTAGCAGTTCTGGCTTCCTCTTTTGATTTCTCTGTAGCACTTATTTTTCATTTGTAATGTAATTCTTTTTGAAATTAAGCAGTGCTAATGTGAGTCTATTTCTTTTCATACTCTGAAAAGATAACTGATATTTATTAATTAGGGTCTTCAAAAGTAAATTTCTAAAACAGGTCTTGCAAAGCTATCATTCGTGTTACCTGAAAAACTATCTTGTTTCATGTCCCAGTAGTGATTTTTACTCATTCTGGATAACGGGAGATGGAATTTCATCAGCATATTTTTCTACTTCGCTTCTCATCACCCTTAGCCTCTCAGTCACTATCACTAGCTAAGCAATCTCAATCCTATACTTTTCTTGTCTGGGACTTAAATTTTCGGTCAATAAAGATTTCATGCCATTTGTTAATCACCCACTCACTGATTTGATTGTGTTTTACAGAAAAAAGTACCTTGGACAAAACATTTTGAAAATAAAATGGGTTGTGTAAAAGAAGTTAGTTAACCAGTTCAAAATACCATCCTTTTCAGATGAAAGGTACTTCTGGTAAAATCTAGTCGCCTCTCAGAAGGGTGATCTCAGAGTCTAATTGCTTATAGAAATTGCAGCTATATATATACCAGTACCATATGTAAATATCTGTTTGTGTAAGAGGCAACTCTGTGTAATGTCCCTAAGAAGCTATTTACTGTAATCATAGCTGTAGGTTAGGGGTTCCTTCAAATCTTCTCCAGTAGAAAATAACCTAAATATTGCTAAGGATATCTCTGTTGTTATGAAATACTAGGCAAAGCAAAGGAAAAAAAAATCTAAGTATGTAGACTGCAGCAATAGTCAAGAAATGAATTCAATAATGTAGGAGACATAATAAAGAGATGAAACTGATAAGCAATATCTTCTCTTTGCCTCATTCTCTTTAGTCCAAAAAGAAAATGTGAACAAGACTGCATCCTCTTCTTCTACTAACTGGAAGAATTGTCTTTCCCAGTTTGTCTAAAAAAAATTCCCAGAAATAAAGAAATTAATATAGCAAATTACAGAAAAAAGGAGAAACTAGAACTAGCAGAAGGGCAGGGCAATAAAAATTCAGTCAATCTGTGGGATAGTTGGAGAGCTTTACAACCAGGAATATGCTTAAAATCTGAGGGAGATAAGAAGAAAACTGAAAGACTGAAAATACCTTGAGTTCTCTCCAACAGATAACGGTAATATTGCCTGCTGTTCCCAGCAAGTGAAATTGAATTGCTTTCTTGCTTTTAAGTTTAGCAGTATTAGTGTATTACTCTCGATAAATTGAAGTTTGGCTGATAAATCCCAGAGTAAAAGCTACTTTCAATTCCCCATTTATTGGAAAGGAAAAAGCCTTTGTGTAAGACATTTCCATTAGAGTTCTGTGATTTGTCTACAGCTCTTAATGGAGGATATTAAACTCACCTTTAAGGTCTGTTGCTATTCTTGCTTTAACAAAACAGATAGATACAAAGAGAAATAGAGGAAGGGAAGCAGTCTGGAAAACATGTCTTTTTGTTGGCATTCGTGACTTGAAATGACTAATCTTTCAGCAATCCAGACTCAAGCAATTCACTGTCAAGATAAACCTGCTACACCTAAATTCCGGCAGAAAGTGTCCATAAGGGAAGCCTGCCAATCTTGGGGAAATCAGACAAGGCCTGTATGAATTCCACAGAGCAAAGTATTACCCTCTTCTATGGGTGGGCTGAAATGGCCATTGCAATGGATCTGCTGTGTTGTTTGCTAATTGATGTTACAAAAAATACTGTAATTCATAAGGAAGTTTTAGTCTTTCCTCTTCCAACATGTGACAGTAGAAAGGGCATACGTATTCTAGTAGCTAAGGAATATTTTTTGTACAACTTTTACAAATGAGCTATGCACTACCTGTTTACAATGACACTAAGCCTTCACTAAAACCATCCATTACCATGAGTAAGTTTAACATCCCATTCCAGTCAAAAACACCAGTGTTACTGATTCCTTTACTTATAAGGGTGAACAATGGTCCCCTATTCAGGGGGTTACTGTATGACATTTCATACCATGACTCAGAGGATAGATACTATACTATGTCACTGTAATTCAGCGCTGCACATTTTCTGTTGCCTATGCATTGTGAGGTGATGAAATTCACTCTTTATCAGTAGAGATAGAATTTTTTTTTAAGTTAGAAAGATGTAAAATCAATAATTAAAGATCTATCTTCTTATCAATAAAAATGGCTTAATTTAAAGATGAGCACATTTTGATTAAAATTATAAACTCACAAGACAAACATGCTTCCAGCCTGTTCTGTTAGTCAGGATTGCCCACACTCAATTAGCATAAAAAATATATCACTTTCTGTAAGTATACTCAATATGTTTATCAGTAGAGGTAAAATAAAATTCTGGAATAAGCTCAGCAAGATAAACTACAAATAATTAAACATCCATCTTTCTAAAACAGCATAAGCTATTATGAAATTTAGAGATAGAGGAATTTATCAACATAACAAAGGTTATTCCTGTTATAACATGCTTCTACTCTGTTGTCAATCAAAATTCACCTTTCTCAGTAATCTTCAGGAGCTTCACAACTTTGTTATTTGGTTTCTGTTTGTATCAATCGAAAAATCTCATGTTGGTACTTAGAGACAAAAAAGACCTAATTTAAACAATCTTTAAGTCTTTTTTTTCCCCACATTATCTGACTTCTGTTGAGCTTCTTCTTCTCCAAAGCAAAGCTAAGTTACATCATATTTCTTAGAGAGACATCTTAATGGGACAAGTGGCTGTGGAAAGCAATCAAGTGCACTAGATTTTCATGAGTTTTAAAAGTGATGTTGCAGTCACATTTTTAAGTCACTGAAAAGAAGCATGTGAAAATAACAGACTGTATGGGAGCTGCTGAATCACGGCCTGAACCTCTGATTGATCACTTGAGGCAAGCAGTGAGTCAACCATGGGAGCACAGGTGAAGGCAATTCACCTGTGCTGCAGGAAGGGGTGGAGCCTGGCTCCACCTCTCCTAGACCCATTTAAGAGCTGACTACCAGTGGGGAATGATCTGTTCTGGAGATCTCTTCTCTGGAGTTTTATAGTGAGTTAAGGATGCAGGTGAGTATTCTATCCATTCTCTTTTTGTTATTATAACCTGCTTAGTTAAGCTCTCTTGTTTATTTCATAATTATAACATCTTTATATGTATTGATTATATACAGACTGTTCAGCATGCCTATATTTTGCTGTTCCTCAGGTATTACCCACCAGGAATAGCCATCACTGGGGTGCCTGTTCAAAGGAAATCCAGATTCCATCTACACAAATTCAATTGAACTTAGACATCTAACATCTAACTGTGCATTATTGCTGGTAAAGCTTTCATCAGAACTCCAAGTGCCTACATGTCCCTCATAGCCTAGGTGGAATAGTCAGAGTGGCATCTGCACTGCACATTTAATTATAGCTCACATGGACAGAGGCATAAATCTGTGAAACATCAGATCACTTCACAGCACCACAGACAGTCATGAGCATTCTCTTAGTCTCCTGGAGACTGTCTTGCTATAACTGCATAGTTTTCATTTTGGAATAACCACAATTTAGAAGTGCAGTAGTAAAATAGCTTTTATTTAGTTAAAATCTATGATGACCTTTTTGCACTTAATTTTTTTTTTGTCTGCATACTAGGATGTAAGGATATAAGAAATAAAAATTGGGATATTGATAAAATAAATCCAAAATGTTGGATTTATTTAATTGTCAAAAATCTGGCTCCACACTAGTAGTAGGAAGAGTGTTTTACTTTCTGAAAAGTACAGTTTCTAAGGATAACTATCAGGTTCATAAAGTGTATCAAAATTGGAGAGTCTTCAAGTTTTTTCTTAACTTATTGGAACTTCAGAGGGGAGCATTACAGCTGTATCAGTACAGCACAATGTCTAGCTTAATTAGTCCCAGGAGCTGCTTCTAAAATATTAAGCTGAGAAGAGTAAAGGAATAATACTGAACACATGTACCCTGCTAGGCAGCATGCAGTCCCTTGTATGGTTTTGGCATACGGTCAGCCAGCATTCTTTCAGATAAACCCCAAAACATATACAAGGTCCTGCATATGTGAGTCTATAGGAACTGTTGAGTCACAGCCTGAAACACTGATTAAGCACCTGGGGAAAGGACCCAGTCAGCCATGGGAGCACAGGTGAAGGCAATTCCACTGTGTGACCAGAAGTGTTGGAGCCTGGTTGCACCTCTCCTAGACCCCATTTAAGGACTGACTGCTAATGGGGAAGGTTCTCTCTTTGGAGATCACTCTTTTGTGGAGTCTTTCCTGCAAACCTGGATCTTTGGATACAGGTGAATGTTCCTTCCCTGTTTACTTTTCCCATTTTCACCACGATGTTTCTAACAGTGAGGGAACATTCTTAACGTGCATTTTTGTCATGTTACTGTGTTCTGGTAGATAGGAGAGACCAGCTGTACAGATGCAGTCTGCTGTGTGTTATTTAGCCCAAAAGCTAGATGATGGGGAACAGTCCAGAGCCATCATAGAAGTAGATAGTCTCTGCTATGGCTGTATTGCCTTTGAGGTCCAAACCAGTATCTCTTTCCCATGTGATATGGTTCTGCTTCTTTACTCCTTCAGGTTTGTTTTCTTTAGTCTACATTGTACTACCTAGACCCAGAGTGAGTTGTCTAAATTTTTTGTGTTTCTGGTTGTTTATCTCTCTCTGTTTCAGTTTCTTATGCACAAACTGTGCACTATAGCCACTCTATGCTCCCACTCTTATTTTTAATTATCAAGTTATGACCTCAGTTTTGAGTGGAACTTATCTGCTAAAAAGATTCAGTTACTTCTGTGCCAATCTGATAACTTTCAGAAGCTAGCAGCACACAGGATGAAATGGGGTCCCTTAATTCTTCAAGGAAAGCACAGAGAAATCACAGACAAGAATTTGTATAATTTTTTTTATAAATATATCAAGCTGAAAATTTCTATAAGCTTGTATTTGTTCTCACTGCTCCAAGGGGAAAGGTACTCCAGAACTTTGCTTTGCGGCCATCAAAATATTCTGAAGCAAAGTGAGAATTTCACTTGCCTGTTTGCTCATGTGCTACTAGTATTTGTTATGTTAGCTTCCCTGTTTCCCATTTGCTGTTTTAAAGTCAATATATTATTATATTTATTTATATTTATATTATATTATATTTTATTATATATATTATTTTTATTATATATATTTATATTTAATTATTATTATATTTTGTTGCTTAAAGACACTGAACTGTACACTTAGTCTGTGCATGAACAAATTCCGTCAGTTGATTTATTATTTTCTAATTATATTTATTCATATTCATCTGTTTGCCCCACTATAGGCTGGTGCTAGGTCTGCTCTTCAGCTTACTTTTCTGCTTCATGAGCTACATCCTTGGGCTGTATCTCCATATGGAATGGAAGTGTCTGAAGGCTCAAGATAGTGCAGGAAGCTGCATCGTGCGTAGGGTAAAAGGGATCATAATATTAGCAAAACATGACCCCTTATCTGGTATTCGGAACAACAGAAATGAGATCACTGCTGGTTTGAAACTGTAGAAAGGACTGGATCTGGTACGAGAAAGCAGATATGAGACCTGGGATGCAAGATAAAATTTGCATTGATTGTGCTTCAACTATTTTTCCAGTAGTTGTTTACAATTAGTATAACATTCTTTTAGATTTCAAGCATTTGTATTGTTCCATCTGCTTTTCATTTCTAAATTGTAGCTTAATTTCCAACAAACAGGTTTCTGTTTCCCTACTACATAATGTATGGTAGAACTAGCTGAACATTTGCCTTCATTCCCCAACAAATCTTAGAATACTACCAAGCCATCTGATTTTTTTTTCTAAGAGGAAAAAAACATAACTTTGCATATGGGGTTCATTAAATGTTCCATTATTCTTATTCATAAGAAAATTACCAAGATTTCTTATCGTCCTACTTTTGAAAATAGTGTACCATATGCAAAATAAGGCAGAACACTTTCTTTTTTCCTGTTTGCTACTCCACACAACTTTAGAAATATACACTTTCGTAATGTAGTTCTCTTCAGTAATGACACTTCCATATTATCCAGTGAAAGCATAAGATAATATCTTTAATAACAGATTTAACCAAGTAAAAAAAAAAAAATATGGTAGCAAATATAAAAGAAAACATGGCTCCTCACAGTAAATCACCCCTCCACCCCCTGTTTTTAACAGTTTATTAGCATGGAGTTAACACAGCAGATCTGTGTAAATAAAGTTACCACAAATAGAAATATCTATAGAGTACAATGCAGTGTTTCATAGATATAAGAAAAAGGTACCAACTCTCTTGCTGTGGTAGTGGGGGTACTGTGGTTACCCATATTGGAAATACATGCAGTTCATTCCCAGGCACTTAGGTTAGGTCCTTGGGATGAGAAAAACAAATCAGACAGGAGAAATGAACCTGTATCAAAATTTATACACTATATGTAATATGAATGTTAATGCGTGTCATGTGCCTGGGAATTAGGCTTTGCCCATGCTGAGTGCAAGAACACAGAACATAAACATTACATTGTTTGCACAGACCAAGAAGGCTGCTTTCTGTACCTGATTTGCCATCATGCAGATCTGTCTACAGTTATGGGTATCACCTGCACTCCAAAACTGGAAACTAGGCAGGGTGATACAGTTAATTCTCATGCTGAGTATGACTGCATGTACTGTGCACAGCATCAGGGAACTAAAAGAATAATTCTTTATTTGGAATAAAAGAGCATAGAAGGAACAAATGAATCATTGTGTAGCAGAAGAAAATGCTAGTAAAATACATTCTGGTTAGTTATTGTCTACCCAGCTGGCTGTCTAGTTGGTATTGCTAATAGCTAAAGGATTGACCATGACAGATATTTTCCCTGTTGCATGTGTTCTGCCTTTCTAAATGGCTTTTTCATGGTCAGTTTAAAAGAAAAAAAAAAAACAAACCAAACATTTAGGGTATACTAACAAGGATTGAGGTGCACAACTATCACAAGTTTGTTTTGTTTTCCAAAACAATAGGGAAGTATGCTGCTTTAGTCAAAAGAGATGTAGCTTTAATTAGAAATTGGTGCCATGCTAAGTCTAAGAAAATATAACTACACTTGATGCTGCATAAGAGTGGCTATCTGCATTTTCTTGTTTGACATGTAGGCAGAACGTGCTTGTGATACTGTGTGGATTCCTCTTTCTCCATCAAGGCTTGGTCTGGGCAAACTGTACTATTACATGACTTAGTTTTCAGAAAGTAAGTTGTTGGAAGAGAATTCCAGGGATAAAACTGAACTATTGATATTGGTATTGAAATTGTCTATTTTAGCATATGGTTATAGGAATTCTCCAGAATATTGCCACAAAAGCAAATAAGGACTTCAGATGGAAAAGATTTTTGAATATTTAGCATATTTTTTTATTTGACAAAGAGTGAAAATAAGTGACAGTTTACCATAAATGTATTATGAAATATATGGTAATAACTACATGGTAACTTATCCTGCTTTTCATCTGTAGATCTCAAAGTTGGCAAAAGAAGATCATGACAACATCAAAGATATTTGGAGTTTATTCAAATGTCATTAAATGCAAGATTTGTCACCTTTAGGTTCTACAAAGTGACTTCTGAAGTACTGTAGAGGATTGCACACATGAGAACTGCCTTGTGAATAAAATAATTCAACAGACAAAAATCTCACAAAAATATTGAAGTGATTTATTTAAAGTTGTTACTCACAGACTTTATGTAGTTTTTTATATGGCATAGAATCTTGATTAAATATTGTTACTGTCTAAGTCATTAAACTCTTGAAATATAAATTAAGAGTCTTTTCCCATGTTGGATGCACCTGGTTCCAGCTGACTTCAATGACCTCACCTTATGGCATGGCTAGGCCTTGTAGCCAAGATTGAAGTGCCTTTGGGAAAATTTAAGAAAGGGTAAAAATGCTTCACAGACAGGGAGGAAGGGAAGAAAAAGTGAGAAACAGAGCAAACAACAAGGGCACAGAAGAAGGGAGAAAATATTGTTTTAATATTTGTTTCTAATACCCTAATCTTAATCATCAATAAATTTTGTCCAAATTTGGACTCTTTTATCCACAATAGTAACTTGTAAACTCTCTTTGTGTCTTTTCTTAAACTATGTGAGTTTAATACTATTTTCTCCCCACTGTTCTGCTGATAATAAGAAATGGGTGAGCAGCTGGGTGGGCTAAGCTATTGTTAGTGTCAGTGTTTCCAGATACAAAGCAGGGTAAGGAGAAGTTAATTTCACCTGAGATTATGTATTATGTAATAGATGTAAAGCCTGACTTTACACGGTATTCCCCTACAGTCAAAAAAAAGGAAAGAAAATCAGTCCTGCAGCTGCTCTTATTGCTCTGTTGAACAGACCAGATCAGGCTTACATGCACTTAAGAATGGAATGCAGGAATTCCACCTCTAGCTTTGTTTTAGTCTGCACAACTTGTCTTGTCCAAGAGGATTTGGTACATGCTCTGGTCTTGAGTCATTCCAGCTGGTGCATCTGTCCCAGATGAAGACTTAAATCCTAACAGATAAATTGTGTTAGAGTTGGAGACCATATGCTTCTAATCTCTGTGCTACAAGGGTGGACTTTGTGAACTGCATTAGGGTCCTGGGTCTGGGGAAATCTGTCCAGAGTCCAGAGCAGGCTCTTTTAGAGTCTTACCTCAGATTTTCTGGGGATTTGCTGAGCTGAGAGTGTTTCTGTCAAAGCAGTTCCTACTGCTTTAGTGAATGACATTCATACGAAAAGGGAGTAAAATGGTTTCACATCCTCTGAAGTATTAAAGTATCTTCCAGACATTCCGGCTTGTCTTTTTTTTCCTACAGTATATAACTACAAGTGCCAAAAAAATCTTTTTCAACAGAAGTCAGCACAGAAATGAAGTGTGGAATTGTAAGGCCTCAGAATGTACAATAGGTATTTGACAGTAATAAAGACTCAGGAGTAAATAGAATTGTTAGCAATAGATTAATTTATTTAGCACATAATTGAGCTTTCTATTCAGCAACTTTCAGCAATCTTTCTCTTATCACTTGCAAATGTGCTTGACAGTTAGTTAACTACTATTTTACTACGGTGAAAACCCAGGCAGTTCAAGGACCCAGATTCATACTTTTCAATTATAGCTGTTATGCAAGTTATTTTCTACCATCTTGCACTGATGATAGATGAAATAAGATCTGTAAACATTCTGTATCAGAATAGCATCCAAAAAATGGAGCATTTTTGTAAGGGAGTAAAGGTTAATTCAAACCCGCTGACTGAGGGATGCTGTCAGATAGTATTTAACACAGGAATTTCTGGATTGTTTTTTCATTTTCTATGCTTGTCAAGTCATTTCTTCCTTTGTAAAGCATTCCGGCGCACACATGCCCTGATTCAGGAGGGCAAAACCAGTTTGCATCCTAGAGTGGTTCTTACCTTTAATTTTTTAATACAAGCCTTCTAATACTACTTTTTTAAAACCCAAATTCACCTTTCCCCCCCCCCCCCGCCATGCGCGTTGTAGGATAATGGACAGCTGAAGTCATCTCAGATGGGGCTGTACTTCACTTCTCTTGGTCAGCTTATGTAAGTCACTTTACTGTGTGAGGCAAGATATTCTCTGATTGAAAACTGATCTCCTTGTTCTGATTCTCTGTGAAATCTCAGCATGATTTTGTTTGTTAATTTAGTTGGCATTAGCTGTTCTGCTGGGTCCTTCCCAAACATAAAAAAATATTCTGTAGTCTGTTCCATTCTTTGCCATCTCTCACACTAGAACTGAAATAACTATACAGGGATTTGCAATGGGATACAGTACTCATAAAGACACTGCTTAATTTTGAATGAAGTTCTGTAATCAGCTCTTGCTATGAGGGTCATGGAGGATACTCTGATTTTTGCTGAATGAATGTAGAACTTCTAAGTTTACTTTATAGCGAATACATCAAAAGGCAACTGAAATTCAAACTCTGTATTAGGGGAAGTGGGTATTACCCCTAGTGCTTGGTTTCTAAAACGTTCACTTTAGTATCTCAGTCTTTTCATATTTTCACAGCAGTTTGTCTGCTGCTGTTTTGTATACAGCTGAAGTTGTAAGTCTTCAAATATTGGTGTTTATTGCTTTTTTAGTTTTTTTTTTTTTCACCTTATATTAAAGGACAAGAATTGAATTAAAACGTATCTCAAACTTAAGGCAGCAAGTCCTAAGTTTGCGAGGTCAGAGGATTTCTGGAAAAAAAGTCACGTTATTTTCCTGAATGTTCTTTGTTTCAGAATTCTTAGGATATCATACCTTTGATAGTATTTAGACTGAGATATATTGCATAAGTATTTTTGTATTATATTCACTAGCATAAGAAAGTCAGTAACACTGAACTAGTATTGAAATTATAAGCAAAGAAAATCTTAGGATATTGAACTATTTATAGTTTAGTAGTACAGAGCATCGTACCTGTACAGCAGTTGTCATGGGAAAAATATGAATATTGATATAAAAATTCAGTTATTCATTAGTTTGTCTACTATACAATAGTGTTAATCATATGATGGAACTTTTAGATGAAATACTGTGCAAAATAGAGGAAAAACTAAGAAAGACTAGAAAAGATAATTTTTCATTGAGTTTCTCTGCTGATTCTTAAACATTCATAAAATTCCTAACTTGGCCAGTCAAATCCACTGAAGCAATAGAAGCTTCTACATTGGACTCAGTTATTTTTTGGCTCATGGTAAGTAATTAGCCCAGACTGTGCCCAGTGTGTGTACACAACTGGACAAAATGCAGATATTTTTATGCCAAACTTTTGCTTAGATTTAAGTGTATGCTTCACTGCTTTTCTAACAGAGAAGGTCTTGGTGTTAGTGATTTTTCTCTGACAAATCCTATGACCTTTTGGTATTATGTCTTTTGACAGTTTTAATATTTAGGAGTTGGTTGATTGGAAGTCTCAATTTTCAGTCTTACAGAGAAAACTGCCATAACATCTAACTCTTTACATACTAAGATTTCTATGTGTTTCTTACTAATACGATTCTCCTCTGGTCTGTTTTTCAGATTAATTTGCATTCTTTGACTTTATATGTTGCCTGGTACTATTTGTATTTAATATTTACTAGTTTGATATAAATTTGCAGACAGCTGAAATCTGGTTTTGATTGTTTCCCTGTAGAAAATGCCTTCAGGGTTTTTTCCAACTTCTGTTGCATTAGTAGGTATTCCAAACCCTGTGGTGCTTGCAAAGTGTTTGTTTTTCACAGCTGTCATAACAAGCATTTGGTTCCTGGTACTCAGTTTCTTCCATTAATATTTTGACTAAAAAGTATCTTTTTTCTAATTTTGCCTATCTCAAATTTCTAAATGTTAAGCCTCTGCTTTATGTTCTTTAATCAATCTTCCTAGTCAGCTAGAATGGTCAAGTAACATAAGACCATTACTCTGTGTGTGTGTCCAGCCCTCAGAGCACCACTAGCCTTGACTATCCCTGCATACAGCAGGGCTTACTCCATACTGCTCTTGACCCAGAGCCTCATGTCAGCTCTGAGGTCACCAGCAGGGCTGGTGTGCAGCTCCCCACAGCCATGGGCCCTACCAAGCCAGGTCCACATGCAAGCCCAAGACTTGGCCTGTTCTCATCCCTGTTGGAATGTCTGGGGCTGCCCCAGTGCCCCCAGCTGCCTTGCTCCTTGTGGGGCAGTGGGATGAAGCCTGGTGCCGTGACAGCCATGGGAGACCCCTATCCACATCAACAGCCATGTTGAGACCCATGTTGCACCCTGAGGGACTGTTCACTCACTGCAAAGCAGCCTAAGTCTTTAAGGCAATAACCAAATCTACAATGCTGTCTCACAATCTTACAGAAAAGAGGACTACAAGATTATAGGATCTGAATTTTAAATCTAATTGTTAGCTCCCAACGCCTTCAAAGGGTAAAATAAATGACATGTGCTTGACATATTTATAACTGTGTGTCAGTATGTCATCCCTGATCTTTAGTTATCTGTTTGGAATTGGTACTAAAACTCTCACATTTCTTAGTTCCTTCCCAACTAATAAAAAGCAAACTATCAGCCATCCAGTGATGAGTGCTTGTTGTTTTGTGGCATAAAACATCATTTTGGGTTAAAGGGTTGCTGAGCTGAAAGGGAGAACTGACTCAAACTAAAGTGCTGCAGAGGTTAGAAGCTGCTAAATGTCCATACCAATAAAAAGATTCAAAATATTAAGGATGGTCAGAGAGAAAGAAAAAAATTACTAAAAAAAATCTTCCGCAGAAGATGTATGTGTCTTACTCTCTGTTTTCATGTAGTGTTCCTGCAACTAGCAGGACTGAGCAGGGCAGAAGCCTCTTTGGGAGGTAAAGTTGCTCTTTCCTTTCACAGCTTCTCAAAGACAGAAGGTCACAAGCAATCAAAGAGGCATAGCAGGGAGGTAGGGATTTGCACTTAATACAGACACTGACAAATTACTAGAAAGGGATGGGAAGGTTTCAGATAGAGGGGATCAGAGAAGATTGTGCAGATTTTGCTGCACTTTGGAAGATCTTGGAGTTAGTCAGCTGAAGTCAACTCTGCAAGTAGACATCCACAAGAGAAGAATGCATTAAGCAAAAGGCAGCATGGTATAAAATCACAAAGTATTCAGATTTTAACTGATACAATTCCTTTGAGTATTTTTTTTTTTTTGTACATAATAGTGAAGCATGCTAGTTTATATTATTAAAAAAAAAAACAAAAAAACTCCACAAAACAAAACTGGAACAACAGCAACAAAAAAACCCACCACGTTATCTTTTTTGAATATAAAAGCCATTCAGGAGTTGTCTTTTTTGAATACAAAAGCCATTCAGGTCTTCTAGAATATCACTGTAAAGAAACAGGCCCTGCAGAGCTGCCTAAACAACAGGTAGGGACTGCTGAAGTCACTCAGGGACATCCTGGAGTGCTGGGCTGAGGATAGTGTTCAACCTGACAAAAGCCAAGTCAGCTCTTTCAGGAGGACCCCAGATATTTGGTCTGCATATCAGTGGAAGAATGTCAATGATTATCATCCTCTTAAAAGGCAGGAAGAAAGCTGTGCAGGCACTGAAGCAAACAGAAGAAAGGTGGGTAATATGGTAACCTTAAACTGAATTTTATAACTCTTAACAAGATCAAAAGGCTGACTAATGTAAGAATCGTGGAATCATAGAATTGTAGGGTTGGAAGGGGACTCTAGAGATTGAGTCCAACCCCCT